ACTCTTCCTTCCCTCCTTCCTCCCCCTGTTCAGATTTCTCACCTTGCTATATTCTGCCCTGCCATAGGCCAAAGCCACTTCTTTATTAACCAATAGTAATAAAACATATTCACAGCATACAGAAGGGAATCCCACATCATTGCCTTTAAAAAGTCTCTTAGAAGTAGAATGTTGTGATTTACAGCTGATATTAAATAGACTTTTTATGAAAAATACTTAGAAATAAAACTATCACACATCAAAATTAACCTGACCCAAAGGGAGGGGAGCAAAGAAAAATAGATAACTCAATAAAAACAGTTTAAACAAAAGTAATAGTAAAAATGATTTTTGTAAAGCAGAAGAAAGATAAAAACTATCACAGATATGCATGCAATGGTAATTTGGAAAGGTTACTCCATTAACTTTAAAGGTTTATTCCAAGTATTTTTTAAAAATAAAGTAAAAAGCAGCAAATAAATAAATAAAATTATTTTAAGCTTTTCCTAAGGCTTAACTAGTGAAGCATATGATTACAAAAGTAATTTTAAAACTTAAATATTAAATAAAAAAATCCATTGACAGTTACATCAAGGTGAATAAGAGTACTTAGAAACAGATTTTAAAAGGAAATACCACTTTTCCTTCTTTGGAAACTACTAATTAGTTGTGAAATTTAATGACTCAAATAAATAGAAAAATATCTCCTGTACTTATTGACTAGAAAGCATACAGTTGTTTCCGTGGAAGTATTTTCTATATTGAGCTATAGATTTAAATACAATCCATCATAGCCACAATTTTCATTTTTGTGGACCTTCAAAAGTTGATCCTAAAATTTATGTGAAAATACAAGAGAAGAAAATAGCTAAGGCAGTCCTTAAAAGAACCAAGTTATACTTCCTGGCTTTAAAACTTACCAAGAACATGCAGTCAGTAACGTGTTGTTACTAATGTGTTAGTAGACATTTGTCATAGGAGTGGTGTTGAAGTCAGAAATAAACTCTCTTTTGTGGTTGGGTTTCAGAAAGATGCCAGTTTAGTGGAGGAAGAATGATTTTCCAGTAGGCAATGGGACAGCTGGGTATCTATATGCAGATGATGAAACCTGGGTCTTTTCATTATACCAGATACAAAATTAGTTATCATTCAAATCTAAACATAATGACAAACAGACCAAATGCATAAAAGGAAAAAATAAATGTCTCCACTACATTAGATTAGACAAAACCTTGAATAGGATCACAGTGTTGCATATAACCAAGGTAAAATATGCAAATGGAACTTCATCAAAAAAGAGAGAGAAAAAAGGAACAAGCAAAATCCAACCCGAACAAAATATATACTTTAATGAGCACCACTGGAAGAGTGATGATTGTATGCACAGCGAGCAAATATTTTCATAGAGAAACTAAGATCCAGATTGTATAAAGAATCTTTCTATTCTATAATTAAAAGATTAGCAATCCAGTTAAAACCTTCTCTAAAGAAAATATATGGTTGTCCAATAATCATATAAAAACAAAGATTGTTGTTTTAACAATTGTTTAGTTTTTAGAGAAAGACAAGTCAAAGCCAGTACAGTACCTACTGAGATGACTGTAGCAAAGAGCACATACCATAGCCAGTGTTGGGGAGAATGCCAAGGAGTCAGAGGCCTGATTCACTGCTGTGGAAATGTAAAATTATTCAGCCCCTTTGAAAAACAATTCACAGTTCCTTATAGGCTATAACATAAATCAGCTGTGTGATCTACCAGTTCAACCCCTATGTATAGTTGCAATAGAAATTAAATATATGTCAACCACATAAAAACTTGTACATAAATGTCAATCTCAGCTTTATTCACAATATCTAAACTATGGAAACTCTATGTCCATCTGCTAATGGTTATGCAAATAAAATTTACTGTTTTCCTACAGAAGAACATTAACCATAAAATTGTAATGATGTTCTGAATCAAGGCACAACATGTATCAGCCTTACTTTGTTATTCTAAGTAAAAGAAATGATCACAAAAGTGTTATTTTTTAATATTTATTTATTTATTTATTTATTTATTTATTTATTATGTATACAATATTCTGTCAGTGTGTCTGCCTGCAGGCCAGAAGAGGGCACCAGATCTCATTTCAGATGGTTGTGAGCCACCATGTGGTTACTGGGAATTGGACTCAGGACCTTTGGAAGAGCAGGCAATGCTCTTAACCGCTGAGCCATCTCTCCAGCCTCCACAAAAGTGTTATATAAAATATCTAGAATAAGCAAATGATGTGGAATTCTCCTCTGTATGCTGTGAATATGTTTTATTATCAGTGGTTAATAAAGAAATTGTTTTGACCTGTGGCAGGGCAGAATATATCCAGGTGGGAAGACTAAATTGAATGCTGGGAGAAAGAAAGCGGGTTCAGAGACATCATGTAGCTGCAGAAGGAGACAGATTCTGGAGCCTTTCCAATAAGCCATAGCTTTGTGGTAATACATAGATTTAATTGAAATGGATTAATTTAAGATGTAAAAGATCGTTAATGAGAAGCCTGAGCTAATAAGCCAGTGTTCCAATTAATACAGTTTCTGTGTGATTATTTGGGTTTGGGTGACTGGAAAAAGTATGCTCAGTCTCTGTCTGCAAAATAGCACCCAGTGTGCTTCAGTATGGTTACACTTGCCCACTTCTCTCTGCACTGTCTGTCAGTAGGCCATGCCTATTTATTTCCTGTTGCTGAGTGATTGCTCAGGTTATCCTGGATGGAAGGTAAGTCAAATGAAGTCAGACATTTCTCTGGACCCAAAAAAACATTAGTTTAATGATAATAGAAAAAATTCTCACTAGTTCTTATTGGGTGTTTACTCTAATCGTTTGGTATCACTTGATATATTCGTGTGTTTTGAGATAATAACTTAGTCTTGACAGTGAAGACATAAACCTGTATTTACTTATAAGCTTAAGTTATACAGGCCTGTAGAATATTAAATTTTTTCAAAACAAAAAATTTCACTAAATATTTTATTTGAAAAGGCTCTTTCTTGATGTCCTTTGTGTTTTGTCAATTGCCATGGAAAGATGAAAATTATTTCTTTTGTTATCAGGTTGTTTTGAGACAGTTCTCTTGTGTTGAAGCTGTTCATGCTGGCCTGAAATTTTAATCTTATGTCTACCTCTTTTTTTCTTGTTGAGACAAGGTTTCTCTGTAGCTCTGGAGCCTGTCCTGGAACTAGCTCTTGTAGGCCAGGCAGGTCTCGAACTCACAGAGATCCACCTGTCACTGTCTTCTGAGTGCTGGGATTAAAGGTTTATGCCATCACTGCCCAACTTGCTTCCACTTCTAGAGGGCTGGGATGTGTGTCCTGCATCACTTCTCCCAACTTCCGTTTCTTAATGCCCTCATGAGGAGCTAGGAGTGTTTAAACATTTGGTTTTCCGTGGCATTCTCATCGTGCTTTTAAGGATATAAGATCACTGTGAATGTTTAGAGCTTGTGTTTGAACTTGTAATCTATGTCCTTGCCAAAGTTTAGAAAATATATTTAGAAATATCCCCCTTGTTCCTATGTCAGTTTCTTCAGAAGCTCAATTTTTTTTAATCATATTTACCTTCATTTTCTTTCTGCACAAAGAACAGAAGCTCCTGACATATGTTGTTACCATCCATGTATCTAAACTGTAGGAAGTCATTAGCAGGCCTTTCTCATAACCTTACCTAGATACAGAGACTTAAATAAACTCATCCCAGAAGTACTTCTTTTACTTCTTTTACTTCTTTTATGTGAGAAAGAAACCTGGCACACACATCCTAATTATTCAGGGACACAGAAGGATCTCTTGAGCCCAGGACATAGAAGGAGCCTGGTAAACAAAAGGTTTCCCCACTCTCTCAATTGTCCTTAGTCTCTCTCAGTGTTTCACAGTATCTCCCTCTCTCCCTTCCCACTTCCCTCTTACTCTCTTTCAATACAAATATAGTTATGAGTAGATATAGTTTTTGTTTTCAATATATGTATTAAATTGTGTGTGTGTGTGTGTGTGTGTGTGTGTGTGTGTGTGTGTGTGTGT